CTCTCATGCTCTCTGTCTCTCATTCTCTCTCTCTCAAATAAATAAATAAAATCTTTAAAAAAAAAAAAGACTAGAAGGAAATATACCCCTGGCTGACAAAATTATATGTATTTGCCCTGTTTGTAGCTTCCTCTACCTTCCAGTTTTTTATAATGAATAAATATTATTTTGATAAGAAAAAACTAAAACTAAAAAAACCTTGTTTTATATAACATGGCATCACATTGTGTAACTGCCTATAATATCTACTCATGAAATATTAGTTGATGAAAACCATTTAGGGTGGACCATAATACTTCTAACTGAAGCTTTAAAACATTGTTTTTTGGTTTTGCTTTGTTTTGTTTTGAGATTCAAATTCCACTTTTTTTATTTAAAAAGTCCAGCTTGAGCAAAAGCAAAAGGGCTGCTTCCACAAGGGTCCCTCAGCTGGACCAGGGAAGGGTGGTCATTACCAGCCCCCCCCTGTCCTGGGGTGCAAAAATCTGAGGGTGACAGGCAAAGGGCCCCGGCCCCAAGTGTGGCGGCCCTTGTGGTGAGCACCTGTTTTGTTTCTTGATACTTCTTTACAAGCTACTATTCAATGTTTTCTCTGATTTAGTATCATCATTCCTTGTCCTTTCAGTTTGAGGGTAACAACATACACCAGCTGGTTCTGAGGATTTGTCAAGCGCATTTTGCCCCAATATCACCAAGGTTCTCCCGTGACCTGCAGGCCTTGATATCTCAGCTCTTTGAAGTATCTCCCCGAGATCGGCCGTCTATTAATTCCATTTTGAAAAGGCCCTTTTTAGAGAATCTTATTGCCAAATACTTGACCCCCGAGGTGAGCTTTGAGGTGATTCCATGTGGATTTTGACAGAGATTTTGGTTAGCAAGTCCTTGACACATGTGTTCCATCTTAGGTCATTCGGGAGGACTTCAGTCACAGCCTCACACATAAAGCAAGACCGTTGGCTTCTCAGCCTGCAGGGAAGGGGGTGCAAGGTAAGAACGATTTGACCACGTGATCAAAAAACATTTCTTATGTGTGTCTCATATACGTGTGTCCTGAGATGAAGCCTTGCATGGGGCTCTGCACTCAGCAGGGAGTCTACTTAAGATTCTCTCTCTCCCTCTCCCTCTGCCCCTCCTTTTCTGCTTTCTCTCAAAAAAAAAAGCCTGCTCACACATTTCACCCAACAGTGTGGTGTGAGTGGTGTGGTCTATAACCCACGCGATGATCACTACATGTAATTACTTGGGCCATTATCCTATGCATCCTTTCTCTGTAAATGTTAGCGTTAATCCCTAATTTTTTAAAGGCAGTGTTATATATACTAGAAATATGTGAAGGAACCCTGGATAAAATGGTTTTCTCCATTAAAAGACAACGCAGACTAGGTTTCCACGGGGACTTCTCTCACTGGGTCTAAATATCTCGGGATAAAGCGAACTTCCTGTGTCGTGAAAGGTCCCTTATGTTCGCACTCTCACAAGCATCCATGTTAAGATGTGGACATTTTAAAGAAACTGAAGTTGTTTTATTTTGGTTAAATAAGATTCTACGATACAGAAAGCGAGATTCCAGGGAAAGTGCCTACCAAGATCAAGGCCATCAGAGCCAATTAAAAGGAAGGAGATATTGTATAGAAATGAATGGATCCCACCAGCTGGAGCTCAGAAGCCTGTATCTGTAAGTCATACTAAACTCTTCCTCTGATTTGTTAGCAGGTGGCATGTCCTACAGACCTACTTCACATGTTCCTAGGGTACAAGCGTGTTACTTTGGAAAATACTAGCTTTGTGCTTATGAGCAAAATCATTCCATAATGAGCATTAAAGTGGTACTTCATTGAACAACTTCCAGTTGTATTTCCTTATAAGTATTCTATGTACTAGTTTTAGTTTTCCTTTTACAACTCAAAACCTTTCGATTTCTTTAAATAAGGTTTTTCTATATAGAATAAGTGAGTTGTATGGCAGCAGAAAACATGGTGCATTTCATTCCCTTAATTCTAACATGGTATATATAATTGAGAAATTTTTATTATATAGTCAATGATTTTTTCCTAGGGATTTTTAGGCTTAGTTATCTGAATCCACGTCAGCAGAGTGTTGAACCTCTTAGTTCATGCTAGTGGAATGCTTCTGGTATATAAATGATAAAATGGCTATTGCCTTTTAATTGAAGAATTGTATTTTTTAAAGAAGGCAAGATTTTTTAAAGTACAGCAAGATGTAAAGAAGTTTATAAAAATAGAAAATAATAATAGTGAGTTTAGTTTTAGAGCTTGGGTTGGGTAGGCAAAGTCCCTAGCTAAGCATTTTTGGTAGACCAACCATTAAGTATGCAGGATTCCTCTTCACACCTTAGTGAAATTATAAACTACTGTGCTACAGTAGGACTTAGACTTCTAAAATACTTTCCAGTTCTAGGATTTGGGGATCCTAAGATTATTTTACTCTAAAAAATGAGTCTAGAGCAAAAACAGCAAAAATATACTTACAGTGCCTTGTTCTAGCTGTGGTCACTATCAAACTGTCAGTTATTATGGATTTTAATTATGTGTCTTTAAAATCATTCCTCCTCTTTTTGATGCTTCAGATAAAAATGGTAGAAAGGCCCAAACTTGCTGCAATGCGTGGACATTATGAGTATTATTATGCCCAACTTGATGTGTTGAGGAAGAGAGTGCACGAACCAAGTTACCACTGTGTTCCTCAAAAAGATTCTGGAGTTGAGAAGAATTATAATCAGAAAGAAAGCCACAGTCCATCACCAGGTCAATGGTAATGTTAGAGTCTAACTTAAACTTTGGTCCTCTGAAAATATCTTGATATATCAACATTTATTCTGAAGCCCTTCCAATTCTCCTAAAACAAATAATCCAAGAAGAACTTCCAAACTTTCCATCTTGAATACTTAATTCACAGTTCCCTTGACCCTGTTTCATCTCAAATCTAATGTAGCTTATCTTCTTATCCATTGAACCATGAGCAGAAATTCATACTCCTGAATTTTTCCTGTTATTTCTTCCTTCTAGTAAATTCCACCATCCGGGAGGATGAAAATAGTTATATATGTATCATTTTCCAAAGAAGTTATTAATATTAATCCATAATAATTGAATTGTAATCAAATTATCATTTGAGACATATTGAAAAGGAAATACCTTTCATTTAGCATTTATTTTCTTGGGATCTTTCATTTGTGTGCCAGTGTGAGGAATAGAGGTAAAGGAATGCGACACCATCTTGTTCTCAAGGAGCTCAGAGCATAGTGCAGGAAATGGACAAGCAACGGGGGTGTCGAGGCTATTGATCAGATACCTGCCCAAAGCGTGACAAGATTCTGGAAAGGGTTTTTCTTTTTCCCTCCAACACATTGTATGTAGACCACGGATGGACTGATCCTATCCTGAAGAAATATCACTGCATCGGAATATTTTTCTGTTTGATCCTCTCCTGTATCACCAATTGGTACAGTTCTCTTTGCTTCCTTTCTTCCTGATTCCCAAGTATGCATTCTATAACTTCGAACTACTTCTTGAATTCAGAACTTTCAAGCCACAGGTAAACTGTGAATCTCATTAAGAAATCTAATAAATAAATAAAATCCACTCCTTAAAATTGTGCCTAAGACTAGTGAAAATTCCTACTCAAGCTGAACATTTTTATTTTCTAAGGCCTGCTGAATACCTTCAGAGGAAATTTGAAGCTCAACAATATAAGTTGAAAGTGGAAAAGCAGTTGGTAAGTAAAATTCCAATTACTAAGGGCAATCAGGAATTTCCTGCTCACAAATATTCATGGGTCCTTAAGTCAAAGTGCATTCCACATAGAGGATGAGGACTACCCTTCACCTTCTCCAGTTTTTAATAGCTTAAGAAGAATAATGAAAATGTGCCTGAATCACGGTCTGGGAAGTCTGGTTTCTTCCCTGGCTTATCACTTGCTATGTGACCTTAGGCAGGTCATATGACCTCTCTGAGCCTCAGTTTCCTTTTTGTAAATGACAGTTTGAGAGTAGATGAGCTTCAAGGTCCCCTTCAGTGCTATAGTTCTTTGATTCTAATTTATTAGACTTCTATACATTTTTTAAAAGATTTTATTTATTTATTTGAGAGAGCGAAAGCGAGAGAGCTCAAGTAGGGCAAAGGGCAGAGGGAGAAGCAGACTCCCCACTGAGCAAGGAGCCCGATGTGGGGCTCGATTCCGGGACTCTGGGATCATGACCTGAGCCGAAGGCAGCCGCTTAACCGACTGAGCCATCCAGGTTCCCCGAGCATTCAATACACTTTTCTAAAGGTGACTATTGTATTTTATTTGAAATGAAAATTAACCTTTAAGTATAGTGTCAGAGTTCTGGGGCTGAAGGAGGCTGGATGTGCATCCTATTTCTGTCACTCTTATTTTGGGCTGCTCAAAAGCTCTAGTTCTATTCTCCTACTTAACCTGATGCCCCAGGGTGGCTCAACTTTGATAGAACTTTAATTTCACAATTATAGTTGAACTGTTCAGAAAATGGATCGAGGTGTCTCCCATGGTAGTGTAAAATATTGATTGCTTATGATAAACAACACAAATGGTTTTATTAATTTTCTTTGCTTTTTAAATGTGTCATACTGAAACTAAGAAAATTCTACTGCCCGCCCCCAGCAGTGAATTTGATTCACGATATAATTCTTGTTTAAAGAAAAAGATCCAAGGTCAAATGAGAAGACATTTCTAAAATGCAAGTATGCTTTATAAATCATTTCATTCAATTGATAGGGTCTTCGTCCATCTTCTGCTGAGCCAAATCACAACTGGAGACAAAAGCCAAGAAGCAACAGAGAAGAGTCTCGATTCCAGGAGCTGCAGATCAGGAGAAAGGAAATGAAGGACCAGGTTAGAAACAGTCTGATTCCGGATCTACCAGTGTCCCTGCACCTTGTCTTTGTGCTGCATAGGATATTACTTTCAGCATCTGCAGTACGCCTGAGGGAGAGGCCTCTTGCACAATCCTTGGACACACTCATGTGAAGCTCCCTGCTGGGAGTTTCAGGGGATACAGAGATTTAGATTTCACCTCCTCAGAGAATGCAGGAGAGTGAAGTTCATAAGGCTTTTGACCTCAGATTGATAATGTAATTGTCCACCATTACCATTTCTGAAATTTGTATTCATGTCCTTGGGCTGCCTTAACAAAGTATAACAGACTGGGTGGTTTAAAACACCAGAAATGTATTGTCTCCCAGTTCTGGGGGCCAGAAGTCCAAAATGAAGGTGTCAGCATGGCCATGTTCCCTCTGAAACCCAGAGGGGACTCATTTGCCTCTTGCCAATCTTTGACATTCCTTAGCTCGCGGCTGCATGACTCCGCTCTTTGTCATCACGTGGCCTTCTCTCTGCGTGTCTCTGCCTTCACGTGGCTGGCTTCTTACACCCGTGGTGTTGGATTAGGGCCCCATTCTACTCCAGTAGGACCACATCTTAGCTCAACTAGCTACATTTGCAATGACACTATCTCCAAACAAGGTCACGTTCTGAGGTACTGGGGGTTAGGATTCCAACATATCTTTTTTAGGGGGGGAACAAAATTAAACCCATAAAAGTGGGGTATATAAAGTAATTGTATGTCACTGACACATTCTGGGTTATATATAAAAGTGAGATCGCCCAAAGCCCCCCTCTCACTCATAGGGAGGGAAGTAGCCCAGCTGAAACGTAAGGCAGATTATCATCTCTAGGAACACTGGGTTTTCTAATTCTTACTGTTGATCACACATTCTTTAAATTCATAGGCTGTGTAGAGATTACTCTGTTCAGTTGTTCACCAGCATTTAAAATTTTTAAATTGGGATTGTCTTCCAGGAATATTGGAAGCAGTTAGAGGAAATTCGCCAACAGTACCACAACGACATGAAGGAAATTAAGAAGAAGATGGGGAGTGAACTGGAGGTGAACACATTTTTCTCCTAAAGGAAACATGGTTCTACTGATTTAGATCTAACTAAGTTGAGCAGGTTTCAAAAGTAAGGATCTCCTCATAGAAAAGATAAAATGTTACCATGCAAACTTTTAATAGGAAAGCTAACGTTTAACTGAAGCTTTTATTATTGTTTACTTGAGACTACCTATGCTGGTGAGGACATCTGAGACTCTCCGGTAGGAATGGCTATTATTAAAAATATTCATTGTCTTCCTTGTGAATCAGTCAATACTTATTGACAGAGCGGCTACTTTACACCAGAACTAGATTAGATGCAGAAAGTAAGTCCATGCCCATAAGGGAGGGAAAAGGATGAGCATTTATTGAATTCAGCTAGATTGGAGTAGCCTCATATGCAGGGGTAAGGTTCGAAAAGTCTGGATAAGGCCACATTTGAGTGTAGTTGGCTTGAAAAGTTGATTCTTGAAAATCCCTTAAAGGCACCACATTGGAAACTCATCTTCCATCTCTCAGATCACTGCTTTTTCAGTAGAGCTCCAGCTGAGACAGCTGGCCTGGGTCTGGAGACCATGTTGCATGAAAAACACACAAATGTCTAACCATAGCACCACCCTCATGCCCTGGAATGCTCCTCCTATAAGAGGCCTGTGGTTCTGAGGCCTGCCGAGGACACAGCTGGCCCCCAGCTCACAGGCATGGTGTGGAGTTACCCACACCGCTGGACTTGATTTCTTTCTCCCTCTTCCCCACCCCTCAGGGCACATAGATGAATTAATATGGGTGAAGGGAGCATAGCGTAAAACTCAGCTGTACGTACTCGGGCTCCGAACTAGAGTGCTCACATACTTTATCTCATCTTACTCCCCATGATAGGAAAGGTAAATAATTCATCCAAAGTCACTTTGATATTACGAGGTGGGACTAAACATCTGATTCTGAAACCTCTACTCTTTCTAACATATGCACTTATACTCACAGAGAGTTGGAAAGATACGACACACGTGTATGAGCAATGATTGAGTAAGACTGAACATAGTTAAGCTCTGTAAGGGCACAGGAGTAAGGATGAGCCAGGTGAGCGTTTTCATGGTCTAATCTGGTCTGAGAAGAGGAGCAGAGTTAGCAGAGGGAGAGCTGAGGGGGAAGGCATTCTGCAGGAACCACGCAGAGGTCCACACAGGACTGGAGGCCCTGGAGCGGGGAAGGTGGGAGACAGTTCTCTCTAGAGCAGGGGATTGGTTAATGGTGAGGAGCCTTGTTTTTTAAGGCATGTCTGTGATGGGAAACTGGAGTCCAGGAAGGATGGATAGCAGACTTTTCTAGAGAGACCATGAAAGCTGCACGTGGGGCATGCCGAGGGCAGGCACAGGGGAAAGGAGCTGGAAGGAAGGCACTGTTCCAGCCATTTCCACTGATGGTGCCTTGGCAGCGGGAGGAGAGTGTTTCCTCACTAGAAATCCCACTCAGAACTGGCCACGGTCCACACTGTGGACTTCAGAACCCACTCAGAACCAATCCGATTGACTGTGTATAATTTGTACTTTTAGGAGGACTCAAAAATAAGTCATAAAACCTATTTAGTGAAGAAAAGCGACCTGCCCGTCCACCAAGAGGCCCCCGAGGAAGAAGCGCCTGCGCAGGTGATGATTATGTGATGATAATGGGTTTCCCAGCAAGCTGGCTCTAGCCTGGACGTTCTCAGCCCTCACCGTGCGGGGGACCGTGGGCGAAAGTTCTTAAAAACTCAGAGGCCTGGGCTCTACCCCAAATGGCCTGGGGTGGGGCCCAGGCATCCCGTTTGCAGCAGCTGGCTGGGTGGTTCGGGGTGCAGCCCAGTTTGAGACCTGCTCTCGTGCCTGTTTGAGAGTTCAGCGTTCTGGATGGTGTTCAAGTCAGGGTCTCAGACACATGGGTCAGAAATCTGATGGTTAACGTCTTTCTACGTCAACCTTGAGTTTTTGGTGGGAGGAGGGAACTGGGCAGAGATGAATTATCAAATGGCTCTCAAGGAGTTTTTTTTTTTTCCCTTCTGGGAGGTCTTTCACCTTTATCTTCAAGGTGCCATGAGGGCTTGGTTAAGGGCATGTGAGGGGGACCCATGCTGGGTGAAGACCGAAAGTGTTTTGCCTTGTGAAAGACCCTGGGACCTTCCATGACGTGATGCCGGGGAGCTCTAAAGTGGACTGAGTAGGGGAGATGGGGCTCAGGAGTCTAAGATGGTTGTATTTTAAGGAAAATAGAGAAATAGGACACTTCTACAATTGAGACGACGAGACTACACAATCCAATCAGACAGCCAACTTCACAAAGAAAGTAAGATACAAAAGCCACAGTCCTGTTTCAGAGTTCATGATATTGCAAGGCAGAAAAACACCCTTCCCAGGGGTGCAGGGCAAACAGGTAATAGTGAGTCAAACCAACACATCCTGTATGTGAAGTACCTACAGACGGGGCAGCAATTAATTCTAAGGGAGAGATGATAGCGACCTCGTGTAAAATGGTGGAGAGAAGAAAGCATTAAAACACACATGTGCACACACACACGCCGTGGAGACTCATGTGCTTCTGGCTAGAAAGGGGTGGTACCATTTACTAAAGCCTGGGAAGAGTGGGGAGCAAGCCTGTGGTGGGGGGCAATCAAGAGTACCACTTCGGACATCAGTTGAGTTTGAGGAAACCTGAGGGCTTCCATACCTCCTTCACAGTGCTGACTTCACTGCTCCCCCAGCACAGATCATGCTTTCCCCAGACCTTCATACACGCACAGTGCAACATCATTCCAGGGTTTACGCCAGATGCCGAGATAGGCTGTTCCTGCGCTACTCTCATCCCCTGCTCATCTTCTCTGCTGTTACCCTACTTCATTTCCTTTCGGCACTTAGTACTTTCTGAAGTTATGTTGTTAATTTACCTCATGGATTACCTATTTTATTCCAGTAAAATGTAAGTTCCGTGTCAGCAGGGACCTTTGGTCACATTCACTGCATTAACCCATTGTGCAGGACAGTGTCTGGCCCATGGTGGGTGCTCAGTATGAATTTGTGGAATGAATGTCAAAGTAAAGATGATGCTAAGTAAGCCGCGGAGTATGTGAGCCTGTAGCTCAGAGGGGAGGAAAGAGCAAACCTGGAGATACACATTTCAGAGTCCTTGCATAAAGGTGGTGCTTATATCCACTGAGGAAGAGAGGGGCAGAGGGCCCAGGACCGGACCCTGAAAAGGCTCAGAACTTACAGCTCCTTTGGCACTTTTGCCATCTACTTTCAGTCATCTCTTCTTTGAAATTGCCTGTCAATTTTTTGAGCCCTCTTCTTCCTTTTTACTATCATGAGCAGTGCAGTTTTCTTGTTTTCCTGATTACCATCATAAGCTTCCTAAGGGAGGGATCCTGTAGCCAAAATTGCATTCTTACATAAATAAAATCTTAAAAAAAAAAGCGGAATGGGGAGACTCCTGGGTGGCTCAGTTGGTTAAGCATCTGCCTTCGACTCAGGTCATGATCGTAGGGTCCCTGCTCAGTGGGGGGTCTGCTCTTCCCTCTGCCCCTCTCTGCTTCGAGTTCACTCTCTCTCTCTCCCTCAAATAAATAAGTAAAATCTTCAAAACATTCTTGAATTAGATTAGATTGTACTGGACCAGAGTGACAAGCACTGTCATATTATGGAATTTTCCCCACTGCAAGGCCACTGTTCAGTGTATTAATATTTCAAGTTAATGGGTGCTGTGTCCAAGTTTGTAGTGAGTTTTTAGTGAATTATTATTAACTTCCCTTTACAAAGGCATGTTTTTATTCTCAAATTAATCATGGGATTCAATCCAGAAGTCAAATAATATAAACAGACCATGCTGCGAATTCAGGGATTGTGAAACTATAATTGTTTGATCAATATTAAATGCTAGATATTAATTTTTCTCTAAACTTGCAGGACATTGAAAGAGACTTGAAACAAATTAGAGTTCAGAACATAAAGGAAAGTAAAATTCTAGAACAAAACTGTAAAGCTAAGGTAATAAACATTTTGTCTTGCGGTGTCATATTAAACAGCTCGCTGGGGGGTCCCCACCTTGCAATCTGGGTTGCCTACAGGATATCCCCCCCTACTATTTTAGGGACTTGCCTAATTTTGCGATGTTTGACGAATGGTTTTAAGTATCTGTAATGTCAAATAGGAGTTGTGATTTTAACATTTTTATTGGATTGCTAAACTAACATTATTTTCCTTCCTTTCTTCTAGAGAGGGGTGAAGTTTGAAATTAGTTTAAACCAATGTATTTCTGATGAAAACACCCTCCAAGAGGAAGAGGTATGCCATTAAATATTTATTTCCATTAACAGTTATAAGAAAAATGAGTGTCTTAATAGCACATTTAATGAAATTTTTCCATAGGTCATAGGAAGAATTTTCTTAAATCTTCCTAGAAGGATCTCTGGTGTTCAAACGAGTCTTCCAAAATGCTTTTTATCCTCCCATTCTTTTTTCATTGAGATTATTCCCTTAGATGGATTATTCCAATTTAATTTATTTTTCTCTTATAAAGGAATTATTTTCCTCATAATATTAACTTTCTTGTCATTGCCAAATTAAAATAGGATACTTAATTATAGTCAGCAACTAATATACTTACCTAAAAAAATTGAGCAGATACCCTGAAACCATGCACATTTATTTTAGGTCTTAATTAGTTATTGGTAACTTTGTGCAGGTCTTTGGGTGAATCTCAGTTATGCACTCAGGCTCTCATTGACACAGTGATAAATGCACAAATACAGTAAACTCAAACCTCATTTTATTACTTGTATTCAACATCTTTTTTAATCCCACTTTTTACCAGACCTGCTAACAAATATCAAAATCAACTGATTTGTGTTTCCATTTCACCTTCTCTAACTTTGCCTTTTAAATGACCAAAAGTTATGTGTGTGGACATATAAGTTCTGTATCACATCTGATACTCAGTTTCTTTCTTTCATCTTCATTAGCTGAAAAATGTTTAATGTTATCATTTCTTTCAGATTTTTTGTTTTGAATAGACTTTATGTTTTAGAGCAGTTTTGAGTTCATGGCAAGAATGAGCAGAAGGTACAGAGATTTCCCATCTATTCCTGGTCCCCTCACGTGCACAGCCTCCCCCGCACTGGGGTGGAACATTTGTTAGAACTGATACACTCACATAGACACATCATAATCAACCAAATCCACAGTTCACATTAGGGTTCACTCTTGGTGGTGTACATTCTATGGGTTTTGACGTAACGATCCATATCCATCATTATGGTACCACACAGAATAGTTTCACAGCCCTAAAAATCCTCTGTGCTCTCCTTTCCTTTGAGATTTTTCCTACCATTTTGTCACATAGAGACTTCTTAGAGTGGTGACTGTTAACTCTCACCTCTTTAAGCATTAGGTATCTTAGTGTCCCAGACCTAGGAGGATCAGAGGGGGCCCGTTTCTGGGTTGGAGTGGTACATCCACAGTGCTCCTGTCAAGTCAGGTGCTGAGGGTGGCCTGGTAGTATAAAGGGATGGAGTGAAAAAGTTTTATCTGCCACGGTGTTCACCCTTCGTTACTCGATGTTTTGATGTGCTTGAAACAGAGTGATCATTTTAGTGTTGATTATGGGGTGTTAGGAGTAGTTTTAGGGACCGTTTTGGGAACATTGTGCACCTAAAGCAGGGCGTGGACGAGATAACCTTGAGAGTTCTGTAGATTGGAACCTCAGGAGAATAATATCGAAGGCAGCAAGTCTGGATAAAATCAAGTTGCCGGGATGCCTGGGTGGCTCAGTCGGTTAAGCGTCTGCCTTCGGCTCAGGTCATGATCCCAGCGTCCTGGGATCGAGTCCCGCATCGGGCTCCCTGCTCCGCAGGGACCCTGCTTCTCCCTCTGCCTCTGCCTCTCTCTCTCTCTCTGTCTCTCATGAATAAATAAATAAAATCTTAAAAAAAAAAAATCAAGTTGCCATATGATCAGTGCTTGTCACTGTTGACAAGGAGAAGAAAGAAACACACTCCTGTTTCTATCTTGTTCCAACAGAGTTCCAATTTTAAAATGCTGTAATTTATTTGTTTAATATACGTATACTGAATACTTACCATATGTCTTGGGAAATGTTATTACTGGAAACACAAAAAAAATTTTTGACATATTTTTCTTCCTCAAAACATGGCTCGTCATGAAACACCGTGGCATTGCCTTAGGCAGTGGATGTGCAAAATAAAACTCTGACCTTTAAGCATGGCATGAAGCTTAAGGAATATAAGTGTGTGATGGAGTATGAAGATTATACAGACAAAGCATTTGAAGAACTCTGTTGCCCAGAAGCAGGTACGTGTTGTGCCCCTTGAAAGCCAGAGCTAGAAGGGGTGTTTTATCAGCAGTCCATCACAGTCCCCGGCCTCACTGGCCGGCAGTGCTGTTGTCCCGGAGCTGGGCAGAGCCCCGGCTCTGCCGTCTGAGACCCGGCCGTGTGCTCTTGCCCCGTGCCGTCTCCTGGGGCAGCCGCCCCCAGCCAGCACCCCCACGCCAGCCACTTTTCTCGTTATCTGCTGGAAGGTTCCACGGACTTGTCCCACTAGGCTCGCAGACTCAGCGTTTGTCCAGTTGAATTTCAGAGTTCTTCCTTCCCAGTGAGCAGCCTGGAAGGCTCTCCCCTGAGATGTCTCTGGAGTTTTCCTCCCCGATCCCTCTGCCACTGGTTTCGGGCCCCGTCATCTCGGAGCGGTGGGGTGAGGCAGTGAGTGCTGGGACTTTGGAGGCAGACGGGAGTCTGGATCCCAGCTGGCGCTGCCGCCTTCTGATTGGGTGACCTTTCACAAGCGACTACAGTGCTCTGAATCTCGGCTTCCTCTAGGAACGGGGATACTAGTACTTGCCACACAGGCTTACCGGGGGGACTAAAGTGAAATCTGATATATAAATACCTGGCCCATGGTAGGTGCTTAACCAATGCTATTTCTAACTTGCCCCCCCCCCTTTTTTTTTGCCTCTCGCTGTACTGCCTTATTCTCCTATGTGTTCTTCTTTTCTCTAGTATCTCCCCCTTCATTCTCTAAGTGGTTGCTGGAGATTTGTTATATTTTTGGGTAATGCCTGCAGGATTCCCCATTGCCCATTCCACATAGTATTCTGTTTAACACTGTGGGGCCTGATCTTGTTGTGACCCACCTTTCCTGCCCCAGCACCCCTCTTCCCTACCACTGATGATGGGATCCAGACAGCCTCCTGGAGCACCCCCCCCCCTTATAGCTGCGTGAGCATTTGCACACCCTGGCTTGGCTCAGTTTCTTCTTCCTGGAATAATACATCTCACCTCATTTCCATCTGGAAACACCTTTATTCGGTTCAGCAGGCATATTAGTGAGAACCTCCCATGTGCACAGACTGTGCCAGGTGGTAGGCATCTCAAAGATGAATGAAAATGGGGTCTGCCCTCAACATCACCGTGGTGTCGTGAGCCGAAGAGAGGAGGCACAAAACATGTTTTCTGAGCCCACATACTAATCATCGTCAGAGCGCCGGCTGGCTAGAGTCAGGAAGGTACCCACTCCTACAGAGCTTGGCATGCTCAGGAGCTGGGGCTTTATCCTGCGTGATGACCTTCAGTCGAAGGGAATTAACTCCTATCTGTGACGGAGAAAGATCATGCTGGCTGCGGCGTCAGGAGGGCGTGGGGCGGTGGGACTGCGAGCAGGAGGATAGCGGCCCAGGTGGGAGACGACAGGGGCACAGGCCAGAGCAGAGCGGTGAGAATAGACACCAAGTGCGAACCACTGAGTGTGGGGGTTGAGGACGAGAAGGAGATCAAAAACCCTCTTAGTTTTAGGAGGGTCCTAATTCAGATGGATGAAGCTGTCACCAACCAAACGGGCACACACATCATGCAGAGGGAGGTGAGCGGACATAGTATAACGCTCTAGATTTGGGCCATATTGGCGTTCAGGTCTTCATGAGCCTCAGCTGGAGATGCTTAGAAGATGCTAGCTGTGTGAGAAGGAAGCTCTGGGGCAAATCAGGGTTTCCTTAGCATACACAAGTTATTATCACAATCACCTTAGCGATGGTCAAAAATACCTAGGCAGAGGGACTAGTGTGAGAAGGAAACGAAGCTTAGGACAGACCTTAGCAATGTTTAGACAAGGTTTGGGGAAATCCGGAGAGAGCAAAGCCAAAGGAGGAGAGAAAGTTCTAGAAGGAGGGTGCAGGGTTGGCAGCATCAACCAGAAGAGAGAGGCCAAGTGAGGTGGGTTGAATAACAGCCTATGGATTTGACCACAAGGAGCCCTTCATTTTCATACTGAAAATTGTCTTTTAACTTGTCTGCATTCCTATAATTATAATTCAGGTTAGAAAAATTTTTCCATAGGTTTTGACCATCCATATGTCTCTTGTGAATTATGTGCTCTTATCCTTCATCCCTTTATCCACTGAAAATGGCATTTATTTTTTCCTTTATAAGACTCTTTAGGTTAAAGCTTTACCTGTAATATGTATTACAAGTATTTTTGTCATTTGGTTTTCAGATCTCATCTCTAGTAACAGCAACAACTGTATGTGTGTGTGTGTGTGTGTATACATATATAATTTAGGAATAAACTTCATAAGGATTATGCAGAGCATGTGAAGAATACTATAAAACCTTGCTGAAGTTTAAAGGTCACTCGAATAAATGGGGAGAAATAACATTGTTACATATTAGAAATATTCTTTCCAAATAAATATATGGAATTTTGCCAGTTTCAATCAAAATCATCAAAGCCACAAAAAGATGGAGACATCTTGCCAGATTGGAGCATCTTAGATACTCTTAAGCAGACAAATTTAGAAAAGAAGAGCAGTGAAGGGGCACATCCACTTTCAAGTATCAAAATATATTCTGTTATTCTGCAAATTATAAAACAATATGATACTAGCACCAGAACAGATAAAGCAGTGAAAAGAAGAAATAGTTTAGAAACAAACCCTAGGATGGATAATAATTCAGTGTATGCTGAAAGTTACATCACAAGTCAGGGGGACAGAAAGGCTCAATCAAATAAATGCTGCTAGGCCAACTGGTTAACAGTTTGGGAAAAATTGTGAAATCAGACCTTATTTAATGATACAACAAAACAAATTTTTAAAAAACCGAAGAGTTTATACATAAAAAACGAAGTTATATATTAGAAAATGAAGTAAAAGAACAATCAAAAACCAAAGGCAACCTATGGAATGGGAGAAGATATTTGCAAATGACATATCTGATAAAGGGTTCGTTTCCAAAATATATAAAGAACTTATAAAGCTCAACACCCCAAAAATGAAAAAGCCAATTAAAAAATGAGCAGAAGATGAAATCCCAAGGCATGTACTCCATGGAGCACTGGGTGTTATACGAAAACAATGAATCGTGGATCACCACATCAAAAACTAATGATGTATTGTATGGTGACTAACATAACATAATAAAATAAAATTTAAAAAATAACAAAAAAAAATGAGCAGAAGACATGAATAGACATTTTTCCAAAGCAGACAGACAGATGGCCAACAGACACATGAAAAGATGCTCATCATCACTGATCATCAGGAAATGCAAATCAAAACTACAATGAGATATCATCTCACACCTGTCAGAATAGCTAAAACCAACAACAATGAGAATCTTTGTGTTGGCAAAGATGTGGAGAAAGGGAAACCCTCTTGCACTGTTGTTGGGAATACAAACTGGTGCAGCCACTCTGGAAAACAGTATGGAGGGTCCTCAAGAAGTTAAAAATAGAGCTACCCTATGATCCAGCAATCGTACTACTAGGTATTTACCCAAAGAATACAAAAATACTAATTCAAAGAGAGACGTGCACCCCAATGTTTATAACAGCATTATCTACAATAGCCAAGTGTCCATAGACTGATGAATGGATAATGATGTGGTATATTTATATATACAATGGAATATCAGCCATGAAAAAGAATGAAATCTTGCCATTTGCAATGACATGGGTGGAGCTAGAGAGTATTATGCTAAGTAAAATAGAGAAAGACAAATATATGATTTCACTCATATGTGGAACTTAAGAAACAAAACAAATGAGCAATTAGACAAAAAGAGAGAGAGGCAAACCAAGAAAACAGAACCAAGAAACTATAGAGAACAAACTGATGGTCACCAGAGGGGAGGCGGGTGGGGGATGGGTGAAATAGGTGATGGGGTTTAAGGAGGGCACTTGTGATGAGCACTGGGTGTGTAACTGCTGAATCACTATATTGCACACCTGAAACTAATATTACACTGTATGTTAACTAATTGGATTTTAAATAAAAACTAAAAAAAAAAATGAAATAAAAGAAAATATAGGTGAGTTTGTGGGTTTTTTTTTTTGTATAGGGAAGAACTAGCTATTCAAAATACATGGAACACAATCATGGTAAATTAGTAATAGGTTCCACTTTAGCAGTGAAAAGCTTTGATGAAGCAAATAATACTAGCTCCTAGAATTGTCACCTTCAATAGTTTATCTAGGGTGAATAATCATGAATGTCCATAAACATTTAGCTGCAATGATTTCATTATAGTATTATTTATAATAGTGAAAAATTGCTAGCAAACTAAATGTCCCACCATAAAGAATTAAATTGTAATACGTTTGTGTCACAGAATACTGTATTTGCTTTACAATGGTTGTATAGAACAGTGGCTAATAAACTGGGTATGATAATGTTGCTCTTTGAAAAGAGCAAGTTATGAAAGTTGTGCATGGTGTGAGGCCCATTTTTGTTTCAAAACAAAGACACTATATTCAAGGGGAAATTTTTGAAATTTTAATAGTCTCTAGATGGTGAGATTATGGGTAATTTTTATTTTCCTCTACTTACCTGATTTTCATATTTCTATAATGAAACATTGTAATAAAGAAAAAGAAAAAGCTTTTCAAAGTTAAGATGACAGAACTGGGGGTGCCTCGGGGGCACAGTCAGTTGAGTGGCCGACTCTTAGTTTCCTGGCGCAGGTCTTACCTCAGGGTCGTGAGATCCAGCCCTGTGCTCAGCGTAGAGTCTGTTTGGGTTTCTCTCTCCCTCTCCCTCTACCACACCCCAATACTCCCCCCCACCCCACTCTCACTGTCTCTCAAATAAATAAATAAATCTTAAAAAAAGGTAACAATTGATTGCATTTCTATGGAAACTGACTGAAGTAAAATGCTCAGAGGTGCCTCAAAGAATGTGTCCATTCTTGTCACTAATATTTGTTTACATTTAGATATATTACCTAGTCACTCAAATGTTAATAATAAAAACCAATGTTTAAGCCTGTTTATAATTTCAGTCTTGCAAGTTATGATCTAGTCTTAGTCCGTTTGGTCTGCTATAACAAAATGCCATTAACTCTGTGGCTTATAAACAACAAACATTTATTTCTCACAGTTCTGGAAGCTGGAGCGTCCAAGATCATAGTGCTGAACAGATTTGGTGTCTGGTGAGGGCCCACTGCCATGTTTTTGTTATGTCCTCACTTAGCAGAAAGGGTGAGGAACTCTGTGGGGTCTCTTTTATAAGAGCACTAAGCCCATTCCCCAGGGCTCCACCCTCATGACCTCATCACCCCCCAAAGACCCCCACCACCTCCCAATATCAGCACGTTGGGCTGTAGGTTTCAACATAGGAATCTGGGGGGAGGTTGGACACAAGCATTCAGTCCATAACAATCAATATTCGAATGAGATGGTAATTTCTCTGTTTTTGAGGGTACCCACAGATGGACTACCTCCACATTTCCTAAGAACTGTTTGGTGCAATGAGATGCACTTTGACTGCTTTTAAATTAATGAGTTATTTTCTCGTACCCAGAGTTGCTCATTCCAGACACTGGGGCCGCTGCAGAGAGCAGGAGACGGTGGGATGCGCTAGCTCCTCAGACTGTGCTAGAGATGACGACAGCAGGTGACATCACCTCTACCTGCACCACTGTGCCCGAGGGTGACTCCACACTCATTCGGTCTGAGTTGCCAGCACGGGGAGACAAGGCCTCAGATGCAGGTGTGTTCCTCGCGCTCACCCTGACGCCATAGTTCTCTTTTCAGTACAATCCCCATAGATTTGGTATCAAATATCTTTCCAAGATAATGTTTTGGTATCTCCCTCACCTCCTGAGAAACTTGCCTGCTAAGTATCCTAGACAACTGACCACTGCAGGTATGAGAATATAAAGGAGGAAAGATCTAGAATCCCACTTTCCTTGTGGTTGAAGGAGATTGTCTAAAGAAGGGCAGTTGGCTTGACTTGCCTTCCATGTTAGCCCAATCACTTCCTTGGAATTCCTTGGAGGGGTTGGTTTTTTCCATGAATAAAATCCGAATTAAGATAATAACTATCCCACAAGGTTTAGAGTTAGCAGTGCAAAAACACATACAAAGTTGCTTTGTAAGCCAGTGTGCTATTTTAAATGTTAAGAGTGTTAAGAATACGATGATATTTCCAACCCAAATTCCTCCATTTACATTTGAGCTTCCAGCATAGTCTTTGCACAAGAGAAGTTCACAGCAACATCTGGGTGTTATTTTTACAGGTGATGAGGATTTTTATTACTTATTTCCTATGTTTCTCTTGATAACATGGGGCTGGGGGAGAGCTAAAATGTATACCCATTTTATAAATTGAAATATGTAAGTAAATCACTGCCATTTATAAGTGTGTGGACTGACTTACGTTTATACCATTATGAAACACTGAAGCCCCCAAACTTGCAAGAAGGGGCTTGCAAACATAAAAATTTAATCCACCGTAAGCCAATGAGACAATAAGACCAATTTCAAATAAGCAAGTAGAATAGAAAATTTAACACACTGAAGTGTTTACAAAGCAAGTCACTCTCATACCCATTAGCCATGTGACATAAGTCACTAAACTTTATCTCCGTTTTCTTGCTGGTAACACGAGGGGTGGGATTAGGTTACCTCTGAGGTTCTCACGTTTTGTGATTTTATAAGAAGTCAGATGAAGTATTTTTATTTTCAGTAACACAGTCTCCTCTTCAGGTGGCCAAGGGACGGTGACCGAAGGCATTCCAGAAAATAGGAGACGGTGGCAGCACGAAGTGCCAGGAGCTTTAATGAGCGCTTTGGCTGCAGCACGTCTAACAAGTAGCTCGTTTTCTGCCCACGAAGGCGAATTGGGTATGCAGTTTATTTTTAAGAACATAACCAGTCCCCTGAGGAATTTTGTCAGAGACTTGTAAATGCAGAAAGGGATAAAAATACCTTCAGCCTGGAGAGAGAACTGGAAAGGGCTGAGCCTCTTCGGAAGCTGATTCGCTTTGTCCAAGCCTGTTCCAGATGCCACTAACAAGCCTCGAGCTTCCCGGAAGAGTGGGGTAATTTTCTTTAATGGGATCAGTTGACAACTGATGAAAATAAGTAGGGCAAGTGGCTTTGTAGAAGGTAAGCAGGTACTACTTAGCTCTACCTGACGGTATATTTCTGACAACTCTTCGACAGACTCAAATTACTATTCCATAGGCAATGAAAACACATCATCGTAGAGTTTCTTGGTCTGGGAGAGGGTTTTTTTTTTGTTTTTTTTTTTGTCTCTGACTTTTAGCAAGATGATGCTTGTGTTTACTTTATGGGAAGCCAGCCATCCTTTTCAAAAGTTTGAGGGAACTCACGTCACAGGGGGAGTTGGTCTTCAGAAGGTGCAGGTGTACCCTGCTACAGGGAAGGTTGCCGTAGGCAGGCAGGGATAGAAAAGGAGCAGCTGCAGAGGGGCGCGCTTAGAGACCCGTGTTTCAGGAACGCGAGATTGAGGCGACAAGGAGGCAGAGATACAACCTAGGTGTAACGGAGGCTGATAAGTACTTACAAAGTAAAGGAACAATACAAAAATATGTCCCACCCTGAGGATAATGTAACAGAAGTGCCTGATGATTGCCCCAGAGTGAGTCTGCCAGCCTGTGAAGCCTAAACTTCACAATCGTGAAATCTTTGTGAAAGTTGCGTCTTCCAAGAATGTCCAGAAGGATGAATGTATCGGGTGGGGAGGACTTGCAGATACACAGGCCTGTGGCAGACAGTAAGAAAACCGGTTGGACTGAAATCTAGGAGCAGGAGAGGGGGCCAGAGTCCCTGAGCATACGAAGTCCTTTGAAACCCTTCGGTCTCATGACTTCTATCAGTTATCACGCTGTTGCTGAAAAGTTAAGAGGAGAGAGAGGGAGAAAGGTAGAAACTGCCCTTGAGACTCTCTTTCCAGTACCTTCAAATTACAAAAAGCAGTGTATTGTCTTTACTCCTTTCCCTTCTGTCCTGGGATGAAAGCCTTGTCCCTAAGGATGGGGCTGGAGGCAGTAAGGAGGAAGCTTTGGGCTGACTGTGCTTGGTCCGGAAGCCAAGGGCTGGGATCCCAGGCCAGGTTATCAAGACACTGAGGTGGGGACATACTTGGTGGCTATGATGTTTCTTCTTGCGTTTGTCCCTGTGATTCTTGGAGAGAGTCATAGAAAACTCTTCATTTGGTCTGTCATGCCAGATTAACTCATTCATGAGCTTGCTGTATTTTTACATGGATGGCTTTACATTGGGCATATATGAGCAACTTATCTGTCAAGTGAGATTGGAAATAGGAATTTGCCTCCCCAGGTGCGTTCAAAGCAGAGTGCGGATGTTTTCGTTTACAGCCTGCCCTGGTGCTGACACCCCTCCACCCCAGCTGAGCTCCGCCTCTAACTGTGGTTGGCCTCTTGACTTTCTGTCCCTGGTCATCTTTTCTTACTTTAGCTCTACCCTTTGCACGCCTGCCAGATAATCCTCCTACAACGGACCAAATCTCTTTTCAGCTTAAAATCCTGCAAAAGATGCCCTCTTACCCTCAGGATAAAATCAGTCTCTCTGCAGACTCTGAGCACCTTGAAGATTGGCGTGGCCCATCACAATGCCAGGCTTCCTAGCATTTCTCCACCAGCAGATAGTCCTCCCTCAGATTAGAATGCCTGCCTCATTTTGCCAGGATAATTGCTCCTGCAAGATTTCCCTCTGACAAGCCTCCTCCCATTTCTGTCACTATGTGTCATGGTGGGTGGTGAGGTGGTGAAGGGCAGGTACTCTTCTCTCCCTGCTTTTCCCTGTACTACCCGACGGGGCTTTGTAAATGGGTCTGGAATGACATCGATCCTTAAGTGTTCTTTTGCACGAGTGAGTGGAAGACCCTGTAACTATCTTAATATGCTTCTCTTTAATCCAAAAAATTCTAGGAAGTCCTCAAGTTTGTCTACTCTCTCCCTGCCTTTTCTGTTAGCTGCTTCTGACAATTTCATATTCAGTCTCACGCTCAAACTCATTCACGCTCCAATATTTGTTAAATGCATGAAATAGTGACATTTTATCACTGTATTTATCATTTAAATTCATGTCATAAAAAGATGCAGTAGTGAGTTTATTTCAATTTTTAGTGATTGCTATGAAAAACCTGGATCTCAGACTCTTGCCTGTGTCCCCACTGATGGGGAGCCTCAGTTTTAAATGATTAAGAAAGATCTGAGCATGTTTCCCTTGCATCCTCTAGGTTTGGCTTTGCTGCTTAATACCCCACAAGACACTGTAATTCTCTGATCATACAAATAAGCTTCACTTTAATTTCTGATTCTTATTATCTTTCTTCCCCACTAGACTGTAAGCTTACGAGAGCTTTGTCTTGATTACCACCCTGTTTCGTCTCTCTCTCCCTAGTGCCTAGAACTTAGCAGGTGGCCATTGTTTTTATGAATGAACATAAAACCATAGCACGTTTTTAGTATGACTTTATGCAGAGGCATGTGATTATCAATATTCGTATTGCCATCAAGTTGGTAAGGGAAATTATAATGTGAAAAATAATTCTTACAACTGTGTAGAGTTTTCATGAAGACTTCCTGTGTGTGTAAGTTTTAATAACTTTGATTACAAGTATAATAGACACAGTTTATAAAGGCTTTCAAGGATTAGCTATGGTCATACATTTAAGCATTATTCATATGTCCTTCATCACTGTTTAGCTTAAACTTCCAACTCCTTGAAAATAAATTGCTTTCATGCTTCGAGCCCTGCATTCCATTAAAAAGTGAAACTTTATCAACTACCTATTTAATTTATCCTAACTTTAAGTTTAAAATAGCAAGACTTTGTAAAATCCTTTTCAATGACTTTAACTAGTAAAAGCTACACTCTTGAGATAAGGACAAGTATTTTTTTTAATGTGTGCATAATTCATTCAGGTCAATAATTTTGTTTACAGTTTAACCACTCCAAGGGGATCCTTGGTGGGAAGGTAACCTCCATTTTTCTTGTGTAAGTTTTCAGGCCACATAGTTGCCCTGGTAACATCATAGATGCACATCCAGATAACAGCTGATTTACATTTCTATAGTTAGCTATTCATTCTTTCTTCTATCCTGTTAAACAAAAAAATAAAAGCCTCCTAAAATTGTCTTCCTAAAACAAGAAAACAAAAACTATGATTCCCACACCAAGTGGAATACTCAGGCTGCTATTAATTAGCCAGACTACCTCATAGATGAGATATATCAATCAATTCATTTATTTTATAATGCACTGTAGGAAATAATATAGGCTATGATTTGGGATGACACATATTGATTAAAAATAGGTAAATATTTAAGTACAGCGTGGTAAAATTTCATCTTGTAGGTATGTGCATGAATAGTCAGTTTACCAAAAAACAAACAAAAAATAGCCACACTTTGTTTTTAATTGCATCTTTGGAGAAAAGTTCCCATTTCTGATCCCACTTGTTAGCAGAGGGTAGGGATTTTTTTTCCTGGAGACTAACATGAAACACAGTTTAGCCCCCTAGGAACCAGATGGTTGCAGAGTGCATGTGGGCAAGGCAGATTCTGGTAGGTTACCAAAATGAGCATAGTCCTTCACTCTTCCCTGTATCCCTGCCCTTTGCAATATGACTTCGCAGCTCCTCCAGACTTCGCAGCTCCTCCACCATTAAATGTTTTTTTCCCCTCCCCTTGAATCTCAACTGGCCTTTGTGATTTGTGTGCATGAGGAGGATGGAATTGAAGCAGTGGTGTGCCAAATCTGAGCATTTAAAGAGCTTTTGCTTTTTTTTTTTTTTTGGAAACCTGTTTCTCTCTCAACTAGCTCCAGCTGGCCCTGCTATGAGAGACCACGTGGACAATAGAGACAAGCCATCCCAAGAGAGGCCACAGTAGGCCAGCCAGCCTCCAGCTGGCCTGGCAAGTGACTGCACGTGCATGACTGGGTCCAACCGAGACAGGAAGAGCCAGCCAGCTAAGCCCAGCCCAAACTGCCTAATGGCAGAATAGTGACCTCAATAAATGGTTACTGTTTTAAACCACTAAGCTATGTGGTGGTTTATTCTGGAAAAGCTAACTAATATAGACATGTGTAGCAAAATTCCCAAAGTGGGAGTCAAAAGTAGGCTAGACATAGACTATGTAGACATAGTTTTAAAGCCAACTTCAGAAGCCAGCATTATTAATTCTTTTGTGAACTCTTTTAGTTTTTGAGATTTTAAGAAAATCTGTCTCGACATCGCTCTTGACTGCACCAAGGTTGAAGTTATGTAGGAAAAAACCAGACATATTCTCTGTTTTAATGGAAACAATTCACAGGCTTTACCTTCATGGTTGATGTCCAGTACAGGATTTGGGGTATATACCCCTCATCATGTGTATAGGCTGGGAGGCTTTAATCTCTCTGTTATTTCTTTAACAGTGGGAACATTAGAACAATGGCTTCCTAAAGAAGATGAGGGGAATATGGAAATGGCCTCTGGCATTGAAGTAGATGAGGAACAACCAAAATCTGACGATGATGATACGTAAGTAGGTCCTATCCAGATACTTGAATGGAGCACTGGTAGAGAGTTAAAATGCTGTTGCTGAGATATGGACAATAAATAGTCTTAGACCTAGCTGAGGAGACCAAGTTTTACTGACACAAGGGTTTGTTTCTGGGCTCTCTTTTCTTTCCCAATGGCATTGTTTCCTATCTCTGCATGAGTGATATGCTGTCCTAAATTACTGTGCCTTTACCATATCTTTTGGTATCTGGTAGGGCTAGTCCCATACCTGCTTCTAGCCTCCGTATCTTTTTCTTCAAAATTATCTTAGCTGTTGTTGCCCTTTACTTACCACATACATCTTTGCATTTTCTTGTGAAGGGTCATGAAAAACTTTGTTAGGATTTTGAGAATGACATTACATTTGTTGATTAATTTATAGGATTTGCCATCTTTATGATCATAAATCTGAACATCCATGAATATAGTATAGCTCTGTTTCTCTTTATGTCTTTTAAAATATCCTTCAGCATTTTTGTAATTTTATTCACAATAGAGGTACCACTTAACTTGGTTGTTGTTGCTATTGTCATTATTGATGGGGTTGTTTTTCTTTTACTGTGTTTCAACTTGGCAACTACTAGCATATAGAACACTATTGATGTTGTATCCTGTAACCTGACTGAAGTCTTTTATTAGTTCTAAAATTTGGAGTCCTTTGAATTTTAAAAATTTTATAATTTACTTTTTAAATAGGTCATATACTCACATGGCTTCAAATTCAGAAGTTACCCTCTTTTCATAGTCTTCTTGCTATCTCTTTACCTCAGCCACACAATTCCCCTTCCCAGAGTCAACCAATCGAATATGCCTCTTATGCACACTTCTCCTGAGGAATTCCATTAAACTGTAAGCCAATATGTAGATCTTGTGTATGTGTGTATTCTTTTTCTTTTTTTATAGAAACAGTTTCATAGCGTACATGCTATCCTGCAACTTCCTTTTATCACTTACCACTGTAGCCTGAATACCTATCATAATATACAAATAGTAGTATACACGCAGTTTAAATTCCCAGGAAAGCCAAGTATTAGGTCAAAGAGTTTTTACATTTGTAACTGGATATTGTCAAGTTATCCTTCACAGAGGTTACACCTATGAACGCTTCCATTGACCGAGTATGGAAGTGCCTGTCTTCTTGCACATTTTCTTGCTTAGTGTGTTACCAGACATGGATCGTTGCACAATTGATTGGTTCAAAATGATGTCTCAGGTTAGTTTTAATTAGCATTTCTTTTTTGAATAAGGTTGTCTTTCCATATGCTTAAGAACCATCTTTATTTCCTCATTGGGGACAATTTATTCATAGCCTTAGCCATTTAAAAAATTAGGCTACTAACATTGTATTGATTTGGGGAACCTTTTGCATTTTAGGGAGATTGATCTTTTATCTATAATATGACTCTAGAATATTTTCCCCAGTTTTTTGTTTGCCTTTTGATTTTATTTATAGTGGCTTGTGCCATGTAGAAATTTCTCATTTTTTTTTTTAAAGATTTATTCATTTATTTTTGAGAGAGCGAGAATGAGAGAGAGAGAGTACATGAGTGGGGGAGGGTCAGAGGGAGAAGCAGGCTCCTCGCGGAGCAGGGAGCCCGATGCGGGACTCGATCCCGGGACTCCGGGATCATGACCTGAGCCGAAGGCAGTCGCTTAACCAACTGAGCCACCCAGGTGCCCCGAAATTTCTCATTTTTATCTAGTTAGGTTTACCGATTATAAGAAATGATGTCAGGATTTTTTTTTTAGTACTTTTATGATTTAATTTTTATTTAGTTAAATAATTTATTCCTCTTGAATTGCACTCATATTAAAATGCAAAGTGTGACTCCAACTTTACTTTTTTCCAAATAACTCCTTACTTATTCCAACACCATTTATTGAAAATCTTCATTTTTGCTACCCATTTGAAATGCCATTTCTATGATATGCTACATTTTTATATGTACTTGCATCCAATTCTTATTCGTTTTAGGGTAATTACTGTATTATAAACATATTGTTTATAATATGAATTATTATTTTGGAGGGCTAGTTCCCTTAAATGCTTTCCTTTTTCAGTATTTTTCTATCTAGTCTTGCTTGTTTATTTTTCCATATGAACATTAGAATCAACCTGCCTAGGTTGATTCTAGGATAAAGGAGGGAAGGAAGGAAGGGAGGAGAGAATTTTCTCAGGCTGCTTCCTGCCAGTAGAATTTTGGAGTCCAGCAGTCTCTTTTCAATTGGGATTGTCCGTGTCCCTATTGGTCCAAGCTGGCTATGTTTTTGCATATATATTTCTTTCGAAAATCTTGTAGGTCTCTGCAAATCTTACTGGGATTCACTTTATTAGACAAAAACCAGATCCACAAATCTTTTTTAGACAAGTGCTTCTCTGTCTTGAGCTTTTGCTTAGATTCTGAGGGACAACACCCTTAAGCTCCCTGGAAACCCTATTGTTTGATAATAATTTTGACATTCATCCACATTGTCCTATATATCGATAGGTCATTCCTTTGTATCGCTATGTAGTATTCCTTATATAGATATACCACAGTTTATTTACATATTCACCTATTGATTGATGTTTGGATTGTTTCTAGTTTTTGGCTATTATAAATAAAGCTGCTATGAATACTCATGTACATGTCTTTGTGTGGACATAAATTTCATTTCTCATGAGTAAAACCATAGGAGTAGAATGACTGAGTTGTGTGGCAGGTGAATGTTTAGCTTTTAAAAAAACTGCCAAGCTATTTCCCAAAGTGGTTGTGCCATTTTATATCCCCATGAACAGTGCCTAAGTGTTCTAGTTGCTCTACATATTTACCAACACTTGGTATGGTCAATTTAAAAAAGTTTAGCCAATCTAATGGGTGTGTGTGGTGTCTTGGTAGTTTTTGAGTCATAGGCATTATTTATATATCCTTGCTACCAGTTCTTTGTTAGATATCTCTATTTTGTCAATATTTTCTCACTGTCTGGGTTTTCTTATTCATTTTCTTAATGGTATGAGTCAAAATTTGAAGTTTCTGACTAATGCATTTTTTACTCACCTTCTAAAATTGGAAATTCCAATTTACTTGCACTTTGGACAGAGACTATCATCTGAATTTTAGTGATTTAAAAAAGTTTATTGGGACTCCCTTTGCTATTCAGTACAGTGTCAATTTCATGATTGTTACACATGTACTTGAAAATATGCATATTCTTACTATTCTGGGGGTATGTATGTTCTATATAATTATCAAGTTTAAAACATTTTTTTGTTAAACTGCTCTATAGCTTTTTTTTCCCCTTTATCACTTCTGGATGGAAGTACATTAAGATCTTCAACTGTGTTTGTGGCTGTGATTATTTCTTCTCATATTTCTATTTCCTTTTGATGTACTTGAAATAAGTAGAAGCCATGTTCTAATTATTGATTGTTATATCAGTTTGGTAGAGTATCTCTCCCTTTTTACATTATGTATTGTAATTTTTGTCCCTATTAAAGCTGTTTGCCTTAAATTCTTTTTTGTTGGGATACTGACATTGCTATTCCAACTTTTCAGTTATTTTTTTTTTTAGTATTTTGCTGATATGTATTTATTTTATTTTCATCATTTCTTTTTTTTTTTTTTAAAGATTTTATTTATTTATTTGAGAGAGAGAGTGAAGGAGAGAGAGAGCACAAGAGGGGGGAGCGGGAGAGGGAGAAGCAGACTCTCCGCCGAGCAGGGAGCCCGATGCAGGACTCGATCCCGGGACTCCAGGATCATGACCTGAGCCGAAGGCAGTCGCCCAACCAACTGAGCCACCCAGGCGCCCTATTTTCATCATTTCTGTGTAGTTTCATTATAATATGTTTCTTATAAAATGCATGTAGCTGGTTGATATGCTTCTTGTCCTATAATAACCTCTGCCTCCTAATTAGTTTAGTATAATAAAAGTCATTAGAATTAGTGACATATTTGGGCTTTATGTTTTAGCTTGATTTTGTGTTCTCTGTTTGCTTTCATTTGTCATTTCCTTCCCCTCTTCTTTTCTAACCTTTTGTTACATTAACAAACGTTTCTGTATTACTCTAGTCTTCTCACTACTAGTTTTGAAGATACAGATTATATTTCTATTCTTTTAATAGTTTGTTTTTATGTACTTCCTATGGATTGTTCTAACAAATTCAGAAGTTGTTCAGTGTTCTTTTTTTTCCTCCCAAATATGACAAACACATCTAACCACTAAAACCCTTCCATCCTGATATTGTTATCTAGAGTCATAATTTTACTTTAAAAACATTTTTTATTGTGGAAAACTTCAAACATAGTAAAAGTAGAGAGCACAGCACAACAAACCCTCATGTATCCATCATACAGCTTAACAATGATCAGCATTGTTCTTTACTGACCACCCTGCCCCTATACCTTTTTTTAAGGTTTGGAACATTCTAAATCTGAGACATCAAATCATGTAATCCAATTTTAACTTTAAAAAAATAATAAAAAATATGTATTATTTTATATATATATAAGTCTATAAGTCTATATAAGTATATAAGTATATATAATATATAGTATATATATTAGTGTATATATTCAAAGCAATATTCAAAGCAATTATAGCTGTGAACTTTTTATAAATGAATTAGACAATAAACATATATATTAGTGTATATATATACTATATATAGTATATATAATATATATAGTGTATATAGTATATAAGTAATATACTTATTACTTAGTATATATAGTATATATATAGTATATAAGTAATATAATATATATATAATA